AATTTTAGCTAGGACAGTTAGGTAAATATAAAAATTGCCTGTCTATGCATACAGAGAAATAAAGATATTGCATATCGAAAATAGAATGAATAAGAATTTCCTTCATAGTTTTTAAAATCTATAACTGATGATATGAACACGATGAATCAATAATTATATTATTTTATCATGCTAGGGATATGTGCATCAACAATTAATTGCAGCAATGTCATTCTCAAGTCTGCACATGGACAGAAAACTTTTCACTTGAGACCCCCGGTTAATGATCAAATTCATTTTATACCGTATTTGGTCTATTAGAAGCGCATCTCCAATAAAATGTAAATGATCAATTTCATTGAGTGTATACTAGATCATTCAAACCTAACTTCATTTTGGCTACAGACACTCGACTGACAATGATGCAAGCGCATATGCTACTAGTAGTGCAAATACGGTGCTATGAATTTTATACGTAAAACTTACTGATAATATTTAGTCTACAGCATAGTGAAATATACGCTCACCGAAAGATGGAACTAGAGAGATTATCAGAGCATCGGCACCCATACCAAACACTCAATGAATGTACAGTAGAAGATCAAGCAAAGTACACAGCGAGCGCAGGATAGATCTCGTGATATACCCGTAGTATCAAAACACTTCTAAGTACACTCACAATAGCGTATCTGGTTACCTGAATAAACATAATCACTTTGGGGCGATAGAAAGCTTCTATGGACAGAGAATAGAGAAGACGGTGAAACCCAAAGGCGGTCATTGTTTACTCTCACCCCATTACACACTTTAATAATGTTGGAATTAGGACTTCTCAAAGACAGACACTGAAAGCCACACTTTACACAACACCACAGGTGTGATTACTTCTCACAAAGCAATATTTTTTTTTCTATCTGTTCCTCTATTTGTTGTGCGCCATACTTTTGAACTTGTCGAACTTTTGAGACAGCAGAACTGCATATAAACTGAATTAAATATAAATATATTCTAACTCTCTGTTTTTGGAGTTGACTATTAAATCCTCTGGGTGGGGGGTGATGATAGAAAATTTTTAAAATTAAGTTGTTTTTTCCCACCACTCTTTTTTGAGCAAGATTTGTTTCCATGACGATCAATGTTGCTTTGAATTTTTTTTGTCTTTCTCTATAAAATGTGTTATTTTAGGTTTTTACTTTTGTTAGTAAGAATAAATATGACAGTTTTGTTTTACAGACTTAAATTGGAAATTTACAAATATGTCACCATACTTCTTTACTAGTACCGGTATTTGAAGTAACAATAATCTATAAAAAAAGCTTGATGTGGTTGGTGGTTAATTTGTTTAATAAAATTAGCTCACATAATTTAATAAAATCTTTTAAGTAAAATTTTAAGCAGATTCGGGGCTGATGTGTAATATGTAGCTTTCATGTAACACTGTCCAATGGGCA